CCCCCCAGCCGGTCCTGCTGGCGGAGCGCGGAATGGCGTTACTGGCGCAGCCCTCCAATACACGTTTCTACGAAGGAACAAAGCAGCGCAAATACCAGGGCAGAAAAAAAACGTTTACTAATACTATTTTCCATACAAAATGAGGTTTATTCTTACCTGGCCTAAGTTCAGGTGAGAGGCATTACTTGCCCTAAAAGACTGCGCAGGAGAGGCTTCACGCTGCCCTCTCGGAAACGTCCTGATGCACAACGTGAACGTCGAGGCGGGGGCGCCCTGGGCTGCCAGGCTGCCAAGCGCTGGCTGGGCCTGGGGAAAGCTCAGAGCGTGGAGCAAGGACCTGCAGCACTTCCAGAGCAGAGCCTCAAATCCAGCGATAGAACAGCGCAGTTCTAAGTAAAACAGCGTTCCTTAAACCTTCATGTGTAACAAGGATGGCAGTTCAGCTCTTGAAATCTGTTCAACAGATGTCAGCTGCTCTCTTCAAGCTACTTAAAAAAATAGCTCATTACCAGATTCCAGTTGGAAGGTTCACAGAGGTCTCCTTCACTGGTTGAAGACATCACCAAAGCTCAAGAACCCAGATGCAGACCAACGGCACCGGCTGCTAAATGTTTGCAAGCCCTTTATTGCTGTGGTGGGTTTAAATACACTTGGCAAAAGAAAATAGCACAGATGTATGCCTAAACTGGTACCATCGCTCTAGTAAAACAGTAGTAGAAAAACGTATACAATAATATTATCACAACTACCGTGGCATTATTTCCACTTGGGAATTACTTCCTTCAAAAAATTGTGAGTTTTGAGAAAACGCAATAATTTCCTATGGAATTACAAAAACAAAAAAAAATTGAGCTTGCTCAGAGTAAAACATACTGAAATGAACCTACCTTCAATTTGCATGGGTTTGAAACTAGGCTCAATTTACAATGAGAAAAGAATGCTTTTGCCTTAAAACTTTGTTAAAAAAAATTTAACAAAAAAAACCTGAGTCTATTAACACAGCCATTTTGTCACATAAATGGAGCCAGTAAAGGTTTCTCTTGTGGGTTTTTTTTGGTTTTTTTAAATGTTTCCCTAACAGTGGCACTAGCTGTTACAATACACTACCTGAGCTGTATTTTAAAATATAGTACATTGGTAACATTTTAGAGAGTATTTTTAGGAGAGAGAACAGATAGGAGGATAAACAGTCCTTTATCCTCTGCTATGCTGTACTGTGGCACAGAGGACAGAAGTTGTAATTGCTTGCTTCTTTGGCTTTCATACAATGCTTACATACACTGCACATCCAGAATCGATACTCCAGGATAGGGTCTCCTGTTGCAACACATACAGGAAGTTTCCCATCTCCGCTATTTAAAAAAAAAAAAAAAAAAGATAAATAAAGCTGAAAGAATAAAAACATGGTTTTAAAATAGCAACGAAGACTTGTTTTGTAGAAATTTGCAAAGCAGCATAAATACCTGATTGTGTGCCTACAGCTAATTACAAAACTTGTGATGCTCATCTGTAAAATACTGCTTCTCTATTCAGATGTGCGCCACTTTTTGATTAGAAGTTACGAAATCACGTAACACTTCACTGTTAACATAGCCAAGTGTGTAAATCTTCACAACAGAATGCGCATCCCCAGAACCATACAGTCAACAAATCAGGACCAGCAGATCCAAAAGATGAAGTGAAAAGAAGCAGTGAAAGCCATATAAAGGTAGTGTCCAATTAGACACCTGCACTACTATTACATATATTCCTCTGAAGAGTCAACATGAAAGCCACTAGTGAGATTCAGTACATCTGCACAGTAAAATCAAACAAGACAGGTTAAAATCCTATTCATGAAAAAGAAAATTGATTCACAATCAATGAATTTCCATACTTAGAATTCCATGCTGTTAGCAGGAAACATATGTCAAAGACACCATTGTGATTAGCAGGAAACATATGTCAAAGACACCATATGTACAGCCACCCCAAGGACTTGCCCCTTAAGCGTGCCCTTCATATTCTAATTCTTTCACTTGACATATTCATCTTCTCACACCATGTAGATTTAGGTAATTCACAAAACACTGGAGACATCGGTTAATGATGGTTAAACATTCACTTGTTGACATCTGCATGACACCACAATGGTGATGCAAACTAACATTATTACTTTAATGGCACGTGACACCTTATCAAAGGTCCTAGAACTCCTGTGCTCTGTCCACATGCATTTCAAATTAAGATGAAGCTGTATCTTTATGCCCAGTTCCTCGAATACAGTCAGTGTCTATTCTCCCAAATAAAAAAGTGTTGTATTACCCTTTCTGCAAACTGGCTAACACCTGCATCATTCTTGCCCAGTATTTGGTTTAAGCAGCAAAGCACCTAATTAACTTGGTCACACAAAACCTGCTAAAACCCAAAATACAGACAATAGCAGAAAAAAATGGTAGTATTATTACAGTCTCGTATAAATATAAACCCACCTCTCAAGAACGTCATCCAGATCAGATTTTTTATTATACTTCGGACAATGTCTCGTGAATATCTCTAGAGCTAGGTCTTCATACTGTTGCCTCTGCTCTGGCCTAAGAGTTTCCAAGGATTCTAATTTAACAAAGGCTTTTGAACAAATATCAAATGCTCTATTTGCACATGCACAGAGTGCCAAGAGGGAATAGATTTCAACTGCAGGGATAATGTCTTCATAATCTCGCAAATGAAGAGCTAAGAAATGGAAAAAAAAAATCCAAGGAAATTACATGTCTTCTGAGAAGTGCAAGCATCTATATGAAATATTTGCTACTAGTAGACAGTATTAATCTTACAAATTGGACACAATGAACCAAAGTCTTTTCATTGACATGACTGTGAAACACGCATGGTTCAACACCTTTTAAAAATAAATGAAAATAAGGGGATTTGACAGGGAAATTAAAAGTGTCTTTTTGAGACTTTTTTTTTTTAAAAAAAACATGTTAGAAGTATTTGAAATGGACCTTCATTACTTGGATGAAGTATAGGGCACTATTTGCTTCTCTAACTCCCACAAATTTTTTATGAAGCTCTACAGGGAGGTCTGATGTGAATTCAGGCATGCCTTATAATTTAAAGAAAGAAACAAAACAGTCAACATCTACAGAGATTGTCCAATTTAACCAGGTAATATTTGGTAAGTTAATTTGCATTGGTCTCCAAGAAAATACTTTCCAGGTATCTTGACTACAGCCATATTCAATTCATTATATGGTTTTGTTTTAAATTCCATGGATCTAGCAAGAATAGAAAAATATGCCAACTATAAATGAAATTATGTGCTGTGCAGGTCTGTAAAATTAGAACAGTTTCTTTACAGGGTTAAAAATGAAGTC